GTTTTTACATGAGTAGAATGTGTGCTTTTATTTAAAATGCATCTCTGGGTTATTTGTGGGGCATAGGAATTGATCCAAATTTTTTTTTCAAAATATAGTCCGGCCCCCCACAAGGTCTGAGGGACAGTGGACCGGCCCATTGCTGAAAAAGTTTGCTGACCCCTGCTTTAGGAAGAACTTTCTGATGGTTCAACAGTGAAACAGTCTCCCTCGATTTAATATGATTCTATTAAATGTAAGGGCCTTTCCACACTTACAGAGGTATTCCTCTAACTCAGCAATTCTGTGTAAGAGTTGGTTTCGAAATGGTCAAAACTATCGACAATTTTATATTCATTGCTTTTGTAAACTGCTTTGAGGTACTGCTTTTACAACCAAGTGGTACAGTGGTGCCTCGCAAGACGAAATTAATCCGTTCCGTGAGTGTCTTCGTCTAGCGGTTTTTTCATCTTGCGAAGCAACCCTATTAGCGGATTAGCGCTATTGGCGGTTTAGCAGCTATTAAAGGCTTAGCGGCTTAGCTGCTAAAAGGCTATTAGCGGCTTAGCGGCTTAGAAAAAGGGGGGGGAGCGGAAAAAAAATCTCAAGACTCGCAAGACATTTTCGTCTTGCAAAGCAAGCCCATAGGGAAATTCGTCCTGCGAAGCAACTAAAAAACGGAAAACCCTTTCGTCTAGCGGGTTTTCCGTCTTGCGAGGCATTCGTCTTGCGGGGCACCACTGTATATGAATTGTATATAATAAATACACACAAAAACACACCATTTTTCATTCCTGAACACCCTGGTCTGACGGAAGAGTCCTGTATGAATCCGCAACTAGCACGTTGCATTTTTCAACACACAGACACAAACACTGTTTCCCTCGCTTGGCTTGTTCTGCTGCACCAAGAAAAGCTTGCTAAGACTTTTGAGTTAATTTTTCCCCCTTCTATACATTGTGTGCCTATTCGACACAGATATGACATGCAGCTTCTTACGAAATTGTTCCAGTGAAGATTTATCCTGCCAGCTACGGTCGCTAAAGGAAATCTCCGGTGTGTGAACACAATTGGATGGGATAAAAAATGCAGCGCTCGACAGATTCTCTAAGCAAGACCCCCACCTGCCCGACCCCCCACCCCCACGCTGCCTTGCCCCTGGCAATCCCTTAGGGCACATTTGCCTCTCCCAATATAGATTTCTGGAATGGGGTTATGCAAAACAGCTCCTTCTTCACTCTTAATTAATATATAATTCACATGCCCCGCGTCTCTGAAGGCCGCCAGGAAGATGACATCAATCAGAGATAAGTCGTTTGCAATTTAAAGATAATCTTTGGGGTAAAGCAGTATGGTGTTAGTGAACCATCCTAAGGGAAACAGTCTATACTAAGGTGGGGGGGTGCCAATTTTTTCCCCTCCCCAAGAGGAAAGGAGCTGGAAGGGGGTGTAGTTCAGTGGAGGAACAGTCGTAAAGACCCTTGCAGAATTTGTATTTTCCCAGGTTGCAGGTGCTGGGAAAAGACCTTTGACAGAGTCCCAGGAGGTGGCCTGGCTATCAAAGCAAACAGCACAAAGCTACGTAGGGCTTTGTTTTTAAAGCATAAAGCACTTTTTGATTTTCGGCTTTGCTCTATGCTATGTGACTCAGCCTCGTAAGGAGAGAGCGGCTGGATTAGACCAGATCTTCATCGTACTTCCCTTCATCTACAGTGGTGCCCCGCAAGACGAATGCCTCGCAAGACGGAAAAACCGCTAGACGAAAGGGTTTTCCGTTTTGAAGTTGCTTCGCAGGACGAATTCCCCTATGGGCTTGCTTCGCAAGACGAAAATGTCTTGCGAGTCTTGAGATTTTTTTCGCTTTTCCCCCTTTATCTAATCTGCTAAGCCTTTAATAGCCTTTAATAGCCTTTTAGCAGCTAATCCCCTAAGCCTTTAAGCCTTTAATAGCCGCTAAACAGCTGATAGCGCTAATAGCGCTAATCCGTCAATGGGCTTGCTTCGCAAGACGAAAAAACCGCTAGACGAAGACTCTTGCGGAACGGATTAATTTCGTCTTGCGAGGCACCACTGTATTCCAATTTCGGATGTTTCCGAGCTGCCTTTCAAAACGACAGCCTTCCTAATGCCACTAAATTAAACAAGTACGCCATTTCGGTGTTGTTGTTTTTTTTAAAAAAGCAACGACATGTAACATTAAAAGGCATAATTCAAATGTCAACAGAACAGAACAAATCCAGTACAATTCAAAGCATACCGACAAAAAACAACAAGAATTGATACAGTAAATAAAATAAAGCAGTATAATAAATTAAAGACAAGGGGAATTGGTTGAGCTTTTACAGCTTCCTTTGCAACTTGCAACTGAAGGAGCCAGCTGTGCGGAAGAGAATGGCACAGGCTGGGAGCCAACACTGAAAAGGCCCCGTCTCCAGTGTCTGAAATTAACCAGAGTTCCCAACAGTTGCGACCAAGACAAGATGGCTGCCCGAGCACCAGAATGGCGCTGGCATCTCCACCATCTGCAGGCGCATGCCTGGGGATCATTGGATCTTGACTGTTTTCACACACTGATACCACCACATCCTGCAGAATTCTGGAAACAAAGCCTTACGAGGAGCGCTTGAAGGAGTGGGCATACAGGTGAAACTCAAAAAATTAGAACATCGTGGAAAAGTTCATTTATTTCAGTAATTCAACTTAAAGGGTGAAACTAATATATGAGATAGACTCATGACATGCAAAGCGAGATATGTCAAGCCTTTATTTGTTATAATTGTGATGAAAACCCCAAATTAACAATCTCAGAAAATTAGAATATTGTGAGAAGGTGCAGTAGCTATTCAATCCATAACACCTGCAATGGGTTCCTGAGCCTTTAAATGGTCTCTCAGTCTGGTTCAGTAGGAAGCACAATCATGGGGAAGGCTGCTGACCTGGCAGTTGATCAGTTGAATTACTGAAATAAATGAACTTTTCCAAGATATTCTAATTTTTCGTGTTTCACCTGTATCAAACCTGGAAAAGAGGAGACTAAGAGGAGATAAGATAGCCATATTCAACTATCTCAAGGGCTATCACATGGAATAGGGAGCATGCTTGTTTTCTCCTTCTCTGGAAGGTAGGACTCGAACCCATGGCTTCAAGTTACAAGAAAGGAAATTCTGACTGAACATTCGAAAAAACTTTCTGACAATAAGAGCTGTTCAGCAGTGGAACAGACTCCTACAAGAGCTGGTGGACTCTCCTTCTTTGGAAGCTTTTTGGCAGTGGTTTGACGGCCATCTGTCCTGGATCCTTTAGCTGAGATTCCTGCATTGCAGGGGGTTGGACTAAATGACCCTCGGGGTCCCTGTTAGAATTCCTGCTCCATGATTGCAGTCATGGGATTGTTGTCTTTCAGATGACAGTGCATGTTTTGACTCCACAGAGTGGGAAGTGACGGAGACAGGATGTTTGTGTTACTGTGTTCCGTGAAGTGGGACTATTGTCCTTTGTTCTTTTTCTCTTTGCTGTCTGATGCTAGAGAGAGAGAGGGAGCCATGTTGCAGTGCTCTGTGTGTGTTTATATGTAAATAAAGTAGATTAGCCAAAATGCTGAGTTGCTGGGGGTCTGTTACGCAAAGCTGTGCAAACTCTGCGGATCTCTAAGTGTGCCGATGTCTGTTGGCATCAGTCGCTGTGATGTTTGAGCTGAAGAAAGCTTTTGAAGCTCCCGAACGATCGACCAGGAGGGAGAGAACATGCCAGTTGGGCATGTGTCTCTGCCAGGGTCCTACTCGAGTGTAGGCTTATCTCCTGACAGCCCCTTGCAACTCTTAAGATTCTGTATCAGTTATATTTTACCTGCACAATTGGAAGCACTATGATACCACCTTAACAACCATCACTTCCCCCAAAGAGTCCTGGAAACTGTAGTTTGTTAAGGGCGTGGATAGTTGCTAGGAGACACCCACTTCTTTCAGAGAGCTGCAACTCCCAGTATGGTTTAACAGCTAATACCTCTTCTGATTGGGCCTGATTTTTATTTTATTTTTATCTGGGGGAGGGGGGTGTGGAACGGAGTGGCTGGAATCCTGAAGAGGAGAACTTTCGGACTGCAAACCATTTGTTGCTGGTTCTGCTTGCAATATTCTAACACCGAGCACCGATGAAAGGAGACCCGGGGAAACAGCGCAGCTTGCCCATAAATAAAACAGCCTCCCTTTTGCTCTGATGCCTTTGGAGCGCTCCGAATGGAGAATCTTACTGTTCATAAAATGAGGGGAAACTGAACCAGGAATAATATAAACAGGTGCTTTGGAATTTTTTAATAACCTTTTTTCAAAAACAAAAAAAAACCCCGCTTCATGGAAATCAGCTTCTGCCAATCACAGCTGTTTCATCCTGAAAGCCCCTCCTGCAGACTGAGGAGCTAAAGGCCCCGGTCCCCAATCAAACATTCAAACCCCCGCAGCCGAATATAATAATTAAGAAACGTAACTTACTGTCCTTGCAGAAACTTGAAACAGATGGTGTCTCGTGCCAAAAAGGATGGAAGGAAAATGAGCTGGGGCGGAAGAAAACAATTTATTATTACTGCCTAAGCTTTAGATCAAGGGACGCGAGTGGCGCTGTGGGTTAAACCACAGAGCCTAGGACTTGCTGATTGGAAGGTCGGCAGTTCGAATCCCCGCGACGGGGTGAGCTCCCGTTGCTCGGTCCCTGTTCCTGCCAACCTAGCAGTTCAAAAGCACGTCAAAGTACAAGTAGATAAATAGGTACTGCTCCAGCAGGAAGGTAAACGGCGTTTCCGTGCGCTGCTCTGGTTCACCAGAAGCAGCTTAGTCATGCTGGCCACATGACCCGGAAGCTGTACGCTGGCTCCCTCGGCCAATAAAGCGAGATGAGCGCCGCAACCCCAGAGTCGGTCATGACTGGACCTGATGGTCAGGGGTCCCTTTACCTTTACCTAAGCTTTAGATCAGCAGGTTAATCAACTAGAATGCCGAGTTGCTTTCCTTTTCGAAGCAGAAGCCAAGATGTCCAAGGGGAAGAAGGCCAAGGGGAAGAAGGTGGCTCCGGCCCCTGCTGTGGTCAAGAAACAGGAGGCCAAGAAGGTTGTAAATCCTCTCTTTGAGAACAGGCCGAAGAATTTTGGCATCGGGCAGGACATTCAGCCCAAACGGGACCTGACCTGCTTTGTGAAATGGCCTCGTTATATCCGACTTCAACGCCAAAGAGCCAACCTCTACAAAAGGCTGAAGGTGCCTCCAGCAGTTAAGCAGTTCACTCAAGCATTGGGCCATCAGACAGCTACTCAGCTTCTGAAATGGGAGCACAAATACAGGCCTGAGACGAAGCAGGAGAAGAAGCAGAGGCTGCTGGTCCGTGCAGAGCAAAAGGCTGCAGGGAAAGGCGACGTCTCTATCAGAGCAGGTGTCAACACCATTAGAAATGTATCCAGGGCAGCTGTCTACCAGCTCCACCTGGTACGCAGGCTGAGACCCTACCTGCCCGCGGACTGTCTCGCCAGAGTGGTGCATGCTCTAGTTATCTCCCGCTTGGACTACTGTAATGCTCTCTATGTGGGGCTACCTTTGAAGGTGACCCGGAAACTACAACTAATCCAGAATGCGGCAGCTAGACTGGTGACTGGGAGCAGCCACTGAGACCACATAACACCGGTCTTGAAAGACCTACATTGGCTCCCAGTACGTTTCTGAGCACAATTCAAAGTGTTGGTGCTGAGCTTTAAAGCCCTAAACAGCCTCGGTCCAGTATACCTGAAGGAGCGTCTTCACCCCCATCATTCTGCCCAGACGCCGAGGTCCAGCGCCGAGCGCCTTCTGGTGGTTCCCTCATTGCAAGAAGCAAAGCTACAGGGAACCAGGCAGAGGGCTTTCTCGGTAGCGGCGCCCGCCCTGTGGAACGCCCTCCCATCAGATGTCAAAGAGATAAACAACTACCTGACATTCAGAAGACATCTGAAGGCAGCCCTGTTCAGGAAAGTTTTTAATGTGTGACATCTTAGTGTATTTTTGGTCTTTGTGGAAGCCGCCCAGAGTGGCTGGGGAAACCCAGCCAGATGGGTGGGGTACAAATAATAAATTATTATTATTATTATTACTATTACAACTCTGGTGGAGAACAAGAAGGCACAGCTGGTGGTGATCGCACATGATGGAGACCCCGTTGAGCTGGTAGTTTTCCTGCCTGCCTTGTGCAGAAAAATGGGAGTGCCCTATTGCATCATCAAAGGCAAGGGAAAGCTGGGCCGCCTTGTCCACCAAAAGACCTGTAGCTGTGTTGCCTTCACTCAGGTTAATTCCGAGGACAAGAGAGCTCTAGCTAAACTCGTGGAAGCTGTCAAGACCAACTACAATGAGAGATACGACGAGATTCGTCGTCACTGGGGCGGCAATCTTCTGGGGCCGAAGTCAGTGGCCCGCATTGCTAAGCTTGAAAAAGCCAAGGCTAAAGAACTGGCCACTAAACTTGGATAGATGTATCAGGTTTGCCTCAAGAAGTTATTCCCATAAAAATAAAATACTGCAAAAAAACAAAAACAAAACTAGAATGCCGAGTTGAAAATGGAAGATGGTAGACTCTCCTTCATTGGGGGTTTCCAAACAGAGGTTGGGTGGCCTCCTGTCAGGGTGTTCTTTAACTGTGATTCCCACATTGCGGGGGGTTGGTCTAGATGACCCTTGGATCCCCTTTCCAACCCTACATTTCTATGATTCTACGTTAGAATGAAGGCCAACCAAATGCAGTAGGGCTTACTTCCGAGAGTACAATATGACTGCAGCCATAAACAGATTTCGACTAGCGACATAAATCCAGGTTTTGTTTCCAGTCTAGCGGAAAAGCCATTCTGTTTTAATAGACAAAAACAAAACCTTTTTAAAACCTGCTTCTTTAAAAAAATAAGCATAAGGACTCTCTCCTAGCCCAGAGGGAAGCAGCCATAGCAAACCACAAGCACGGCGCTGTTAAATGTGTCTCATCATCACAAGCCTAACTCACCAGGAGGCAAAGGAATAAGAGGATGAAACGCTAACTTGATACGACTCAAGGTCAGCGATAAAACTTCCCATCGAGACGCTTGGAGGTTCAATTCATTATGAATCAAAAACAGGAGAGTGGGAATGAGAGGGAGTGGTGGGAGATGATATCCCCGGAATGTACAATACGAGGCCTCCTACGCTCTTCATCCACATTTGGATTAAAATATTCCGTCCGTGAAAAACAAACCGTATGCAAAACAAACCAGGAAAAACAGGAGTGTTTCGCTCAGAGGTGGACCCCATCAACGTCAGAAAGACTTGCCCTTAAATCAACTCACCCAGGACTGCAGCATGTTATGAATGAATAGTTATTTCCATATATATGTTTATGCAGTATCAGGCTTCAAACGTTGCCAGTTTTCGGACTCCACGCATCTCAGTGTACCAGATGCAACACAGAGCCACTGTAGCGACGGTCAGCCTTTTCGAATCTGGCGCCTCTTCCAAGTCCCCTCAGCCCCAGTCAGGGTGGCTTGGTAATAATACAGTGGTATCTAGGGTTAAGTACATAGTTTATTCCAGAGGTCCGTACTTAACCTGAAACCGTTCTTAACCTGAAGCACCACTTTAGCTAATGGGGCCTCCTGCTGCCGCCGCGCCGCCAGACCACAATTTCTGTTCTCATCCTGAAGCAAAGTTCTTAACCTGAAGCACTATTTCTGGGTTAGCGGAGTCTGTAACCTGAAGCGTATGTAACCTGAAGCGTATGTAACCGGAGGTACCACTGTAATAATCATCATCATCATAATCATAATAACAATTTATTATTTATACCCCGCCCATCTGGCTGAGTTTCCCCAGCCATTCTGGGCAGCTTCCAATCAAGCGTTAAAAACAATACAGCATTAAATATTAAAAACTTCCCTAAACACGGCTGCTTTCAGGTGTCTTTTAAAGATAAGATAGCTGCTTATTTCCTTTACATATGAAGGGAGGGTGTTCCACAGGGTGGGCGCCACTACCGAGAAGGCCCTCTGCCTGGTTTCCTGTAACCTCACTTCTCGCAGCGAGGGAACTGCCAGAAGGCCCTCGGAGCTGGACCTCAGTGTCCGGGCTGAACAATGGACGTGGAGACGCTCCTTCAGGTATACAGGACTGAGGCCGTTTAGGGCTTTCAAGGTCAGCACCAACACTTTGAATTGTGCTCGGAAACATACTGGGAGCCAATGCAGATCTCTCAGGACCGGTGTTATGTGGTCTCGGCGGCCGCTCCCAGTCACCAGTCTAGCTGCCGCATTCTGGATTAATTGCAGTTTCCGGGTCACCTTCAAAGGTAGCCCCACATAGAGCGCATGGCAGTAGTCCAAGAGGGAGATAACCAGAGCATGCACCACTCTGGCAAGGCAGTCCGTGGGCAGACAGGGTCTCATCCTGCATACCAGATGGAGCTGGTAGACCATGGTGCGCCTCCATGGACAGCTGTGAGTCCAAAATGACTCCCAGGCTGTACACCTGGTCCTTCGAGGCACAGTTACCCCTGTACGCCGGCTCCCTCGGCCAATAAAGTGAGATGAGCGCCGCAGCCCCAGAGTCGGCCACGACTGGACCTAATGGTCAGGGGTCCCTTTACCTTATCAGCCACTTGCAACCAAGTGAAGATGGTTGGGTGCCAGGATGACGCCTGACGTCTCCCCATCTGGAGGTGCATGCCTGGGGATCCTTGGATCGGGCTGTTTTCACACACTAACAATGCACCCTGTAGAATTCTATCTGTGATATTTTATCTGCACAACCAGGACAACTGGCAACTGTAATCCTGGTTTAAGGAGCCATTTGGCACCCGGGTTTTATATCTGAGTTTCTAACACTGCTTTGGAGTCTCTCCCCGTCCTCTGCTGGGATAACAGTGCCCCATCAGGCAGTGCCAGCTTATTCCGGTTCAACTCCAACCTCACTTCAGCTACAGCTCTGGTTCACCCACCCAGGAAATGGAGAACAGTTTAACATTTTCCAGAAAGAAAGAAAAAACACATTGCTTTTGGTGTCCCTCCAGATGTTGTTGTTGTTTAGTCGTTTAGTCGTGTCCGACTCTTCATGACCCCATGGACCAGAGCACGCCAGGCACTCCTGTCTTCCACTGCCTCCCACAGTTTGGTCAAACTCATGCTGGTAGCTTCGAGAACACTGTCCAACCATCTTGTCCTCTGTCCCCTTCTCCTTGTGCCCTCCATCTTTCCCAACATCAGGGTCTTTTCCAGGGAGTCTTTTCTTCTCATGAGGTGGCCAAAGTATTGGAGTCTCAGCTTCAGGATCTGTCCTTCCAGTGAGCACTCAGGGCTGATTTCCTTCAGAATGGATAGGTTTGATCTTCTTGCAGTCCATGGGACTCTCAAGAGTCTCCTCCAGCACCATAATTCAAAAGCATCAATTCTTTGGCGATCAGCCTTCTTTGTGGTCCAGCTCTCACTTCCATACATCACTACTGGGAAAACCATAGCTTTTACTATACGGATCTTTGTTGACAAGGTGATGTCTCTACTTTTTAAGATGCTGTCTAGGTCCCTCCAGATATTTCGGACTAAAACTCCTATCAGCCCAACACCAACATGATCAAATGGTCAGGGATGAAGGGAGTTGTAGTCCAACTTCTGGAGGTTTGCGGGAAGTCTGCCTTACCTCTTACGAGATTCCAAACTAATCTAACAAATACATTTGTGGGGATGGGCTATAGATCAGCGGCAGAGTGTCTGGCTTGCAAGGTCCAAGGTTCAATCCTCAGGATCTCCAGTTAGGATTGGGAGAAGTCCCAGACAGCTGCTGATAGACAGAACTAATCTAGATGGACCAGTAATCTGACTTGGCATAAGTCAATTTCCTATGTTAACACATCGGTGAAGCGCAGGGATTCTAGCTGTTGTGGGGGGAGACCACCCAAGGCACCCCTGCCTTAAGGGAACGACACCTCCGAGGCAGATCTGAAAGTTCCCCGCTGCTTCTTCCTGCAAAGCTTGACTGCCAATTCTCATGTAATATAGTGACTGCAAGGACAAAGGCAGAGCTCACAATGTGCACAAAATTAATTAGCGCAGGAAAAGAATATCGCTTTCGGTGAGCCCTCCCTTATCAACGCAACTGCAAGCACAGCAACTTTAAGGCAATTGTTCTAGGCCTTTATCAAGCAAAAGAAGGAGACAGAATCTCGTTTTTCCCTCTTTCTGTATCCCCATTCATCCCCCAAACCCCAAATCATCTTCCACTGGCTTTTATCTGCGATGCTCTACTGGCACAGCAGAGAGCATAAGCCAGACTCTTGCTGAAGTCTCTCGAAGTCTTGCGGTTTGAAAAACATTGCCAACCCAAACCCACTTGGCGTCAGTGGTCCATTGCAAGGGAATGTCTCGAGCGTCAGGAAATTCGAACTGCCACCAAGAGTTAAATCTCTTTTGTGGTCTGAGGAGGAAATGGGTGTTTCCACCGCTGAAGGCAGCCCTGATGTATCACTTTCCAGGTCGCAACGTGTAAAATTATTCCCCTCTGCACAAACGTGCGCGCACACACACACACACAAAAGGAATTTGGAATTTATATGTTTGGGTTTTTTAAAAAAGGTATCTTAATTGTCTTAATGAATTAGTTTTATAAATATGTGAAAGCCTGGCTGTTGCCAGCTTTTGAAGCCCCCCACCCTCCCCAGCCTAACAATTTGCTAGCTTTTAGTCTTCATACCCAAAAGCTGCTGCCTAGCTCTGTCGAACGATAGAGCCGGTCCCAAGAGTTGTTGCTAAACACCGTGAACAGAACTGAACCAGATATACAGTGGTGCCTCGCAAGACGAAAAGAATCCGTTCCGCGAGTCTCTTCGTCTTGCGGTTTTTTCGTCTTGCGAAGCAAGCCCATTAGCGGCTTAGCGGATTAGCGCTATTAGCGGCTTAGCGGATCAGCTGATAAGCGGCTTAGCGGCTTAGCGAATCAGCTGATAAGCGGCTTAGCGGCTTAGCGGATCAGCTGTTAAGCGGCTTAGCGGATCAGCTGTTAAGCGGCTTAGCGGCTTAGGATCAGCTGATAAGCGGTTTAGCGGCTTGGGAAAAGGGGGGGGGGAAGGAAAAAACCCCCGCAGGAACTCGCAAGACATTTTCGTTTTGCGAAGCAAGCCCATAGGAAATTCATTTTGAGAAGCACCTCCAAAACGGAAAACCCTTTCGTCTAGCGGGTTTTCCGTCTTGCGAGGCATTCGTCTTGCGGGGCACCACTGTAGATCAATGGTCTGGCAGCCTTTCTGTGTTGCTAAAATGGAACCACCCAAATTCATGAACAACCCTATCGATGGTTACTGGCTAGGATGCAGTGAAACAATAATATATAAGCTAATTGCCAAATGGCACCTTAAACCTGGGTTATGGGGGCCACAATGAAATGGCTAGGTGAATTACTATTATTATTATTATTATTATTATTATTATTATTATACATTTCATTTCTATACCTCTTTATATTTT